TTTGGATTAGAATAGAAAGAAATATTAATAAAGTTAAGCTTGCTCTACTGATAAAACTCTACCTATTCACTGTGACGTCAGTAGGTTTCATACAGGAGGTGCGTATCCTATAAAATGGAAGCTAGTAAAGCCCTGATATCTGGAACTGAGACGATTAATTAAATTAAACTTTATTAGTCAGTTGATTCTTTAAATAATCCTTCACTAATCTGGTTGTTTAATCCTTACATGCAGTAAAGTAAACAGACTTTAAAATGCGATTGCTGAAAGAATAACCTGCTTCCAGGAGTTGTTTATACCGTTAATATGGATGCATAATAAAGCTGTTTTTATTCCAAGTGTTTGTTTGTTTAGAGATGTAAAAATATCCACTACATTTAAACATGCCTAGTTTTAGATTAATAAAAATTTAATGGATAGATTAATTGATTAGTTAGATAACCAATAACTGCCGTCGTCCTCATTAAGATTTAAACCAAAAAGTTTGAATCTAAAACTAGCTAAAGTGAAGCAAACCGATATGATTCTAAGCGGCGTTATTTCACCTGCGTTAGGGGCTGATACTGTTTCCATGACGATTTGTGTGGCTGTGAATAGATTGGAGGACCGATGTGTGGCGTTTAACGGCGTGGCTGTGTTTCAGGGTGAAGGTGGAATGTCTTCCTCTGCTGAACGGACACAGCAGCGGTCCAGTGACGCCGAACGGAAACTGGAGAAAGAGGCAAAGGGACACAGCAGAGGATGGACCTGGAGACGGAGCAGGCTCAGCGCACAAGAAGAAGAAGAAGAAGAAGACAAAGAAGCTGGAGGACGGCACAACGGAAGGGACAAACTTAGCCAAGGTCGACGGCAGGAATAAAACATCAGAAACGAAGAAGGCCTTGAAGAAGAAGAAGAAGACGAGGCTATCTGTGGCTAACAGCCATGCTGCTTCCACTAAAGCTTCCGCTGCTCCTCACAAACCATCAGCCCCTAAAAAGATGGCCGCCGCTAAAACCAGCAAAGCAAAAGCTCCTTCATCAGATTCCAGCAGCAGTGATGAAGAAACGGTCCGTCAGCAAAAACCCACCGCTGCTCCTAAAGGACCCCAGAAGCCCAAAAACCCTCAGCCTTCATCCTCATCATCATCCTCCTCAGAAACAGACTCCCCCTCAGCTGTGGCCCCCAGCAGCTCAGGCCCTAAAGCTCCTCCTGTGGCCCCTCAGTCAGCAGACGGAGCCTCCAGCAACAGGGAGCCTCCTCACAGCGCGGCACCGGAGCCCCGCATCCAGGATGACGAAGAGGAGGAGATCCAGCTGGTCATCCGCCGGCCGCAGCAGCCGTTCCTCAACATTCCCAGGAGGGGCCCCGGCAGGGGGGCCCGGGACGGTCCCGGAGCAGAGCGCCCCGGGTGGAGAGGTCAGAGAGACGCACAGAGCTGCACCAACGGAACAACGACGCCTTCTGTGCAGACGGACGTTCTGACCAACAAGTCTGTGGTTTTTCAGGTACGCAGCCCCCCCCCCCACCACCACCAAATATCGTTTATTGGCTGAGAAATCCCAGTTAAACATGTTTTAATTTGTTTAAAAAAATGTATCAGATTAATCGGTTATTCAAATAATCATCAACTAATTTAACATCTTTCATTTACATTTCCAAAAAATATATATAATTTTTCCATTTGTCAGCACCCTCTATCCAGAACTCCCCAAGTGAAAAAGTTTTAGTTTCTCTTGGTTTCATTTCGTAGAAACTCTTCTTTAAGGAACCTCTGATTATTAATTGATTAATTGGAAAAATAAACGACAGATTTAGCGGTTTGTAAAATAATCTTTGTTTGCAGCCCTAGTAGTTACTTTAGACCCGCCCTAAAAAGGACAACGAGAGCAGTAAAAAATATAAAATACCAAAAATAAAACTGAGAAAAATAAAGAAATAAGATCATTAATAATAAAGATAAAGGATTGTTAAATGATAATAAAATAAAGGGTTAGAGGGAAGGCAGATATCTGATTGATGGAGCCTTTCATTCAGCAGCTGCTGTTAGATGCAGATGAGGAAGTTTCTAAAGAACCATTCCAAAAAGTTAAAGTTCAATAAAACAATCCACTGGTCTTCCATGGTTTTCCAAGTTTGATGATGTTTCTCCTCCCATCCAGGAAACTTTCTCAATTCAAAATGTCCGGATTAGTGTTGAGTTCCAGGCTTTATAGAGAAGCCCAAACACTCGTATTGAAACGGGAAAACCAGCTCCGCCCCTTAATATGGGGGTCATTGAGGTCGTTACTGGCCTGCAGTACCCGATACTGGCCCATTCCTCTGATAAGGCAGTCATTAAGGGTCATTGTTGGCCTGGATGGGATTAACTTTTTGGAAGGAACCAGTCTGAGCCGCCTGGTCAGCAAAGTAAAAACAGAGGGGCTGTTTTTAGAGGAGGGACACCCAGCAATGCCAGCAGGGGATCAGCTGAGTTCATCTAAAGCTTCGTCTGACTGTGGAGGGGGGGACATCAGGCTGCAGGGCGGGGTGCAGAAACCAGGGTTGGTTTATGACCAAACTTTGGCTGGCCGATGCTTTGATTTTAGGTCAGAGATGTCAGAGTCCTCCATGGCCGCCGTCCCGCTGCGTTTATGCATCTGTGCTTTGAAACGCACCAGTCAAATAACTTGATCCTTTTCTGGACTCTGGAAAACTAGACTTCAACTGAGGAGCAACTAAGTCATCTGATTCACATGTTGGGCCGAGATTATGTCTGAAAGTTGCAGGATATCGGCCCCCCAGGACCTGAGTTTCACCTCCCTGCTTTAGATCATCGTGGATTTTGCAGAAATCTTTAGAGGTTTAGGGCAGAAATCCTCGTTCTCTTTTTGTTAACCTCCTCAAATGATGTTCAAACACTCTGACTCTTAGAAATGTCCACTTATTTTTAGATCCATTAACAGGTGATGAAAAGGATCCCACAGGATGATGTAGCCACCAACATGCTTCATACCGGGGATGATAGGTGCTGTTATCCTCCACTGCTGCATGTTAAAATGAGCAGCGCTGCTTTTTATTTCACTGTCAGAGTCAAAGTGAATCTCATCTGAACACATTTTCCTTTTCAAACATGATCATAATCATTCTGTTTGTTTTGGTCGGATATAATCTCAGTTAAAGAGCTGATGTAGGTGACTAACTAATGGGGCATTGATCAGTTAAAACCTTGGCGCCTCGCCCTCTCAGAGGTTTAGTTTTTGTCTACAAAGAATTGCACTGCCGGCCAAAGGTCGCCTATTAAATATACTCACAAGCACTTCTATATATCTATATCTTTGTTCGTACATATACATGCACAGATGGAATAACTACTGAAATCAACACCTGCAGCCCTGATTCAGACCAACATCAATCAATAACAAAGGCTGGAGTCGTTATAAGCCGATGAAGCTGCTGTTGGTTAGTCTGCTGTATCCATGGCGATAACTTCCTGACTGTCTGTGTGCAGAATGAAGCAGAACAGGCTCCTCTGAAGGACTACAACTCCATGCCGCTGTTAGCTGCGCCTCCTCAGGTGGGCCAGAAGATCGCCTTTAAGGTACGGTTGTTAGCGCTAATGCTAATGGAGGAAGGCTGCTTGATGTGCATGCATCAATGTTC